GAGGACTCAGCTCAGTCTGACTCATGATGAGAACTTAAGCAACTGATGGGCCCTCCCTGAGTCTTAGTTTCTGTATCTGGAAACTGGCGGTGGGGCTCTATGCTCCCTAAGCACCCCCTCCCGTCTGTAGCGAGGTGGGTAATCTGGTGGGGGTGGGAGTGGAGAGGAAAAACTGGGGCCCACATGATGGTGAGCCATAGTCTCCTCCTATATGCCCCGGGGAGCCAGAGTAAAACTACCAGAGTCTCTTTCTCCGTAATTTCTCCTTAAAAACTGGCTTTTGGGGAATGAGATAGGACAACTCATGAAGGATTCCTGATAGTATCAAAAAAAAAAAAAAAAAAAGAAAAAAGGACAGAAATAAGACTGAGGTATTGGGAAAAGCAGACTTGCCTTGCTTCAACCAACCCAACATATGGAGTGATAAAAAAATCATACTATCCTTTATTTATCAGGCTCCCTTGAAAGAGGATAATAATTGTGAACACTGCTGAGTCCTCGCCGCGCACCAGCTGTCTCGCTGGTCTGATCCCATTTGATCCTCACTATGTATAAGGCAATAGCAGCTGCTATAACAAATAAACTGGAGATGTCAGTGGATGGACACAGTAGTTTCTTGTTCGTGTCACGCTTGAGGACAGGTGATCTTGGTGGGTGACCACTCCACTCTACACAGTGACTTGGGGACCAGACAGCATCCATATTGTGCCTCCCCTAGGATGTCAGAGCCTCCTGCATCTAAGCAGAAGAGGAGAGAGAAACCACACCTTCTCCACAGAAGCCCTCTCCAGGAGGTGCCATCCATGTGACCAAATGACTCCTGGGATGCAGGGGGTGCCGGGAAATTAAGGTGCTAGGTGAGGCGGCCACTTTCCAGAGGTCACTCGGCACTACGGACAGAGCAGCATTTTTTGATGGCCTGTTTCCCATTTTACAGATGGAAAAGTAAGACTTTTACAGTGGAAAAGTAAGACCCAGAGAGCCTGGTGCTAGACTCTCCAGACTTGGAAGAGTTAAGCTCTCAAGTGAACTCAACACTGTTCACTCTGTGAGTTCAAAGCCCTCACAGTTACCCATTATGGTGTTCATTTTAAATAAACAATTCTTCCGATTCTTCCAGCTGTAAAATCCTTGAGAGCAATTCTTCCTCTTGGTCTGCCCACGATGCCCAAGAGGCCCAGCTGGGTAGGTGCGAGGCCATGGGGCTGCCATTCTGATTCCAGGCAGGCATTTTGTTTTCAGTATTTCATCCACTTGGAGAAACGATTATCCCCAAAAAGTTGACCCACGTTTTGGGCTCCTGCCAGAAATCAAGGCATGGTACCATCTGTAAGAGATAAATAAATCAAAATATCATCAGCAGATAAGTGTGTGCCATCTGCAGCCCTGTCAGTTGAACTGGCAGAAGCCTCCGGAGAATTCCAAGGAAGTGCTTGCCAGCGCTCGGCTCCAGCCTGGAGAGTGAGAGGAGAAGATTCTCGCCAGGTCTGTTGGCATTTGTCTGGACTCCTTGCTCCCGGGACTCACTCCTTGGTTCCGGCCAGCTAAAGAGCGTGAACTTTCACCCTTGCCAAACACTTAAGATCTTTTCTCATTGGCCACATTTGTTGGGGGGCCAGGACCAGCTCTCGCTGCCCTTTCAAGTTGAAAGCACCTGCTCTGTGAAAACTAGCCATAAGCCTGCCAAGAGCTCGGGCTCCGTGGAGTCAGGGTCTCAGAACTGGCCCTGTTTGGGGCCCCTGGGTGGGCATCTCCAAATGCAGCCACATCCCCAGGCCTGCGGATTTCTCCTGCTGCATGTCTTTGGAGGGCATCCGGGATGTGCCCGAGGATAACAGGATTCTTTTAGCACCTGCTTACCTGCTGGGAGGGAGTGCAAAGCAGCGCCCAAAGGCGAACGATGTCTCTGCGCTGGGTCTGGGTCGTCTCAATTTGAGCCTGGCCTACACTGCTGGCTGTGCGGACTTAGGCAAGTTACTCAGTTTCTGTAGGATGGGATGGGGTAGTTTGTCAACCACTTTTGGCCCGGCACAAAAATATGTGTGCAATATATGTTAGCAATACTACTTGCTGGCTGGCTTAGTGAGACTGCTGTGCCCAGCTCTCTCTGTAGCCCCTGTTCTCCGCCGCCCCTCACCTGGGGACCCCCAATGCCTTCTGCCACCCCGTATTCCACAGAAACCTCAGCTACACCATCTGGTGTGGTATGGAATTAAGTCACTATCCTCAGACCCAAGATCCGGGGACCCAGCCAAGGACACTGGGCCCCCAGTTCCCCTCCCTCTTGCTGCCCAGAGTCCTGCTGCCAACCAGACCTGGGCTGCTGTATATTCATGCCAAGGGCAACTTGGCGCTCTGCACTTGTGTACCTGCCAGCCTTGGGCATCTGCCTCTGGCCACCTCCTGGATTTTGCCCGTTGCTCTGCCAGGTTCCCTCCACCTGCTTAGGCTGAGGTTGCAGAATAGAGCCTCCTGTTTCTGGCCTGGGAAGGCTTCCAGGCTCTCTTTGGGAGGAGTGCAATGTGTGTCTGACCTAGGATCCAGGGAAGAAGTCAAAAACAGCTCTTAGTCATGGAGCCAAGCACGAGGCAGGCGTTCTAATGCACTTTCTTCTGTATCCTTTTGCGAGCCTGGAAGGCCGGGACTCGATTTCCATTTGGCAGGAGAGGAAAAGGCTCAGAGAGGTGAAGCCTCATGGCTAGGAGGAGGCAAAAGAGGGATTTGAACTCATGTCTTGTGGTTCTGAGCCCAGACATCTCCATTTGCCTTAGGAGAACACCCCCTTTCAAAGAGGAAGCCTGGAGAGTGGTGATGAATGACAGTCAGGGTGTGGGTGTCAGCACATCAAGCTGATCCCTTTGCAGATGTTGCCTGATTTAAATCTAACTGAAGACATCTTGTTTTATATCCATTACCTCATTTAGCTCTCAAGCAACCCCATGAGGCTGGCATGATCATCCTTGACTGGCCAAAACATCCAGCCAAGCGAATAAAAACATTCCCCTACAGACCCAAGGCTGGCACATGGCAGAGATGGGTCCTGTGAAGCCAGAGTCCAGGCTCTTCGCCAGGCACACCCGCCCGGTCTCCGGGGACCAGGTCCTCTGGGCTCCCTGCCTTCCTCCACACCGGGCTTCCCTCTCTAGTAGATCAGACCTGGGGAAAGATTCCTGGAATCAGGCGTGAGTGGTGAGCAGCGGGGTGGGGGTGGGGGGGCAGCGTGAGCCGGCGCTTGTGCCTGGGTAGAGTCTCCAGAAGCCTGGCTTCTGCGTGTCTGCGGGGCCTGTGTCAGGCGTGCTCCTTGGTGGTGGGATGGGTGCGCCGCTGACAAGCTCAAGTCACCACGTGGAGGGCAGTTCCTGAGCAGCAACCCTCGCCCACTTCCCACCCTTGGCTCAGCTGGACATCTCAGAGCCAGAGGGTTGCTGGGGGCAGTGGCGAGGGCAGGACCTGGGACTGTGTGGCTGCAAAGGGCAAGCAAGTCCCAAGAAGTGATGCCCCAGGCCTGGAAGGAAGTGACCTTCACTATCCTTCTGAGCAAGGGAGTGAACCCTTCAAAGGGACATTTAGATATACCTTCTGGGGTTTGTTTGAAGATAACCCTGTGGTGGCAGAGGTGGTGGATGTGGGGTGGCCAGACTGTGGAGGGGTGACCATTCCCAAGCCGGGTGTGGACGCGGTGGTCTTCCTACGAGGCTCTCTGTCTTTGTAAAAAGATGAGAACTTCCCATAATAAAATGTTTCTGGGAGACTGTGGATTTGCCTGTGCTGAACAAAGTGGTTTGGCCTGGAATGTCCTGGGCCCTGCCCCTTCTGGACAAGTCAGTCAATGGGATGGGAAGAGGCTTGGAACCTGCGTCAGGCCCTGGTCCTGCCGCTTTGCAGCTGTGAGCGAGCCTCCATTCCCTCATCTCTAGGACGAGCGTGGGTCCTGTCCTCACCCAGCTGTGATGTGTGCCAGGTGCTGAGGCGGTGCCCACCCTGGACTCTCCGGGGTGGCCTCCAGGCCCCCACGAGCTGTGCATTGTGGCAGGTGTGGGGCTGGATGTGACTGCCCAACAGCCGCCCTTGGGGCCACCCCCTCTTCCCCGGAGAGGAAAGACACCCCCTTTCTATTGCCCCTTCCCCCTTAGATGGCCCCCAAGACACTCCAGTGCCTTGTCTCACCCGGCCTCCAGGAGGGCGGCCACACCTTTAGATTCTGCAAAGTCGCCTCATCTGGGCTGCGACCTTGATAATGGCAATCAACAGAATGTTCTTCCTTTATTTCTTCTACAATCCCCTCTGCAGCACCTCATCAGGCTGAGGACACAGCAGCGACTGAGACACATGGCCATACAGCTTCTATTTCTTGCAGAAACCCTGGGGGTTGTTTAGTAGAAGGGGGAGCCTCTTCGGGGGTGGGATCCCGATGGCAGCATCGCTGCCCCCCGTGCAGGCCCAGCGCAGCCAGCTCTTCTGATTCTTTACGGGAAGAGAAGGAGCAGGACTTGCAGGCACCCTTTCCCCTCATGCCCCTGTGTGACTGGGGGTCTGGCGTGTGCCCTCTTCCTGGGGCAGGCCTGGAGCCTGGGCTGCGGCTGCTCATCATGGTGCTCTTGGCATCAGGGAGGGCACTGGAGCCGAGGTTTCCTCCAGGCATGAGGGTTGGTTGAAGGCTCTCGCTCACCCACCCCATCATTCAGCTGCTCATTTATAATCTTCCACAAATATTTGTGGAGCACTCGCTATGGACCAGGCCCTGTTCTCTGGAGCCACGGGACAGGGCTGGACTTGGAGGCGAGAGGGAGGTGACCCCAGGTGCTGTTCATGGACTTTGCATCCATATTCCTTGGGGACGCGGGCTTTCCAGGAATAGGGCCTGAGAAAGATGCCCTTGGGGTCAGAGATGCTTGGGCCCTGCACCCCACTCAGTCACAGGACTCCTGGGTGGGGGCCAAGCCAAAGTCTGGAACCTCAATTCCTTTCCCATGCTGAAGACCCTCCTTTTGTTCTTACAGGTGAAATATGTCGCAGTTTCATTGACCTGGCGCCAGCATCGGAGAAAGGTGAGTGTACCCTCCCCAGCGCCTGCTGGTCAGCCTTCTTGCCCTCTCTAGAGACGCTTCCCGCCAGATGGCACCCCCAGCCCCTGACAGCTTCTCCTTCAGGATCACTGTGGCGTCCTCCCCTCCCCATACTTCCAGCCAAGATCCTGTTGCACAGCTGAGTTTCCTGAGCAGCCAGTGAGGTGCAGAAGTGGCTGGAGGAGGGTCACCCTGCCCTCCCTGCCCAGCAGGTGGCCCCGAGAGTCTTAGCAGTTCCTTTATCCCAGGGCTGAGGGGATTGTGTGGGGGTAGGATGGGGTCAGAAATGATGGGTGTGGGAGGCATTTTCTCCAGCTGTAGGATTTGACCCTGGGAGTGAAGCCAGATGTCCCGATCTTGTCTCCCAGACGTGGGACATCCAGCCTGGCTGAGAGGTCACACTCGTGTGCAGGGCCGGGTAGCCCCCAGAGTTTGAGCTCATGGTGATGCCCAGTGGGATGATTAGGTGCAGGCTGCAGCTTCTTCAAGGGGTACAGCAGCCAGGATTCTGTTCAGCTGCAAGGAATAGTGACCCCAAATAATTGGAGAAACTCATTTATTTCTCTTATGAAAGCTTGAAAGCCAGCAATCCAGGCTGGTTATGCTCCCTGAAGTCCTCAGGACCCGCCCCTCCCCATCGCCCTGTGGACGTTGTCTTCTGGCCTACAGCGGCAGCTGGAGCACCAGCCCTCACCTCTGCATCCTGTGCAGCAGGCTGGAGGGAGGGCAGAGACGAAGGGACAGAGGGGGCATGTCCATGCTAAGGGTCCCTGAAGGGGCCTCATGCCTCCTGCTCACGGCCCAGTCACACGGCCACTCTTAGCTGTAAGGGAGGCCGGGGCCTGGGGCTTTATCCCTGGGAGCCAAGGCGAGGGTTTTATTATTAGGAATAACAGGAGAATGAATACTGGAGGAGGCACTGCCACAGGATATAGGGTCATGGCCCTCCCCACATGCCTCCCCCTGCCACCAAGGGGAACGGCTGTCAAGACAACAGGAGATGGAGAGAGAGGGCTCTGGTCTTGGGAGTCGGGGTGGGGAACCGAGGCAGAAGTCCAGTCATGTAAACTGTGCCCACATGGGGGTCTTGGCATGCTTGGCTCAGTGAATTCTCAAGTCCAGGATGTGTGGCCACTCGCGCCCCCTGCTGGTGGGGCCAAGATGGTGGTTTCCCGCAGCACCAGGAGGTTCTGGGGGCCTGGAGGCCAGAACTCTGACCGCCCCCTCCCAGGGGCCTGTGTGTCACGAGGCTGATCCTGTGTGTCCACGTGTGAGCATGAACATATGTGTGCATGCGTGTGCAGTGCATGTGGCCAGGCATCTACAAGCAGAAGCAGGCAGGTTGCTCGGGCCTCCTCCCAGGAGGCATCAGATCTTTATTCCTGCCTTTTTATGAGGATGGAGGGCCTCACAGAGGTGGTGTCTTTGTGTTTTACTGGCCTCATGATTTTGCTCTCAGGCCAAGGACCTTCTGGCTGTGCATATAAAAATGTTTACAAGGGACCGAGTGGGCTGGCTTCACTGCCAGGTTGCAGAAGGGTTTCCGTGGACTTGCTACCTCTCAGGCATTTCAGCCCTCGGGGCTGGCAGGGTTTGGCTGGGCAGCCCCTGGCCTCTCCAGGAACCTCCCTCCCAGGGGTCTGTGTGCCTGCCTACCTGTCCTCACCACACTGTGTTTCACAGGTCGGAGCCCAAGCTGCAGGGATGAGGGCCTCCCTCCAGGGAGTCTGATGCTGATTTATGAGCCCAGGGGTGATATCCCCAGGGTGCACTTTTCTCCCTGGTTCTTGTCCCCATGACTCTTTTCTGGTCTGTGAAATAGGGTGACATGGCGGCATGGACACTTACTTCCGGCAGTGCCGCCATGTGCCAGGTGCTGTGCTGAGAATGCCACACACCAGCTCATTTCATGCCCATCTTACATCTGATGGGACGGCGGCACAGTTAGCCGAGTGCCCAAGGTCGCGCCCTTAGGGTGTTTGAATTTGACCTTGACTTGTCTGGCTCTTAACTTCCTGGTTCTTTTGCTGAAAAGCGAGGCTTTCTGAGACTGTGTGTGTGTTTGTGTGTGTGTGAATGCATAAGTGCACATGTACATGCTGGAGGGTGAGTCCGTGTGAGCTGGGTATGGAGGCAGGTGCATGTGGGCACATGTGAGCATGTACGTGCAGGTACACAGATGTGTGTGACAAATGGGGGTGTTTGTGCACGTGTTGGCATGGGTGTGTGCAATGCACATGTGAGCGCACTGTGTGAGCACACGTGAACATGTCATGTGTGCATGTGAGTGTGGATGTGTGTGTGCTGGCTATTACTTTCCCTCCGTCCTCCACCAAGGCCTCTGAGCTGAGTCCAGAGAAGTCCTTTGTCCTCTGTCCACCTGTAAACACAGTCCATCTTCGAAGCCCTTCTCAAGTGGCACCTCCGCTCGGTCATTTCTCCAGCTCATCTTGCCCCCTGCGCCCCTACCCTTTCCCCAGCAAAATATTTGTCATCGGTGTTTTATCATGACATGCATTTTTCTTAGTTTGCTGGCATTCTAGTTTTGTGTTTCACATGGGAAATATCTTTTCATTTTCCACTAGCCTAAGCCACATCCATTTTTCATCTGGATTCCTGCCATCATCTCTTCACTGCTACTTCTTTCCATTTTTTGTTCCCTGACTCACTTGTAGCCGAATGATCTTTATAAAGCATAAATCATCTCATGTGACTTCCTCGTTGAAAATCCTTCCTTGGCTCCCATCTCACTCAGAGTAAAAGCCAACATTCTCATTGTGGCCTCCAAGGTCTGTGGGATCCCGCCCTAGACCTGACATCTCATGTCCTGCAAACTGTCCTCCCTCACCACTCCAGCTCTCCAAAATCTTTACTGTTCCTTGAGTCAGCCAAGCTAGTGTATGCCTCAGGACCTTTGCACTTGCTCTGCTCTGCTCCTGAAGCATTGCTCTCAGCTCTCTGCAGCGCTGGCCCTTCTCATCATTCAGGTTTGGGTTTGGATGTCATGTTTTCAGGGGACACTTGCTTGAACATCCCCTTTAGTGGGCCTGCCTCCTGCCAAGTCTCTCACTCCCTTCCTTGTGGCTTCATATCACTTTTACTACCTGAAACATGGTCTGTGTTGAATGAACGAAACAGGAACATTTTCAACAGGACACACTCTTGTTATAAAAGCTGTGACTCCTGAGTGTGTAGAAATGACCATCTCCTATAAGCCCACCACCCTTAGATAGTCACCAGTATTGGTTTGATTTATAAGTCCTTGAAGATAGATCATAGACATGGATAGACACATATACATGTATACATACATGTGCGCATGTTGTATCTATGTATATGTAAGAGGATGGGTTGTTTTTCATCTCAGTACAGAGAACTCACCCTCTTCTTTGGGGACAGTTCATCCTGTAATATTCCACTGTACAGAGATAATTGACTCAATTCCTATAGGTGGACATTTAGGTTAGAGCCCCCACTGGACTCTGAGCACCTGTATCATAGTTGATTAAGAGCCATGTGTACATGTGTCTTTCTCCCTCACAAGGTTGGGAACATCTGGGGAGAACAGTGATCTCTTCTCCACCCCTGGAGCTCCAGGTCTGGGTCTGCATGGTGCACCATCGGTAGGACAGGGGAGTGAACACTTTAACAAAGTCTACCTGCAGGCCATGGGAGGCTGTGCAGAAAGAAAGGATTCAGGCAATTTGTGAAGAAGAAATGTTCAAATGCAGATAAATAGCAATGTCTGCCAGCGGGGAATGTGAAATTGCAGAGAAGCTTTTCCTGCTTCTCCATCTGCTTCCTCAAGTCTTCCCTGTTTCTCATCATCTCTTCACTGGAGCAAGATTCTTCTACCAAATAATTGTGACCATCCAGATAATCTTCAGACCTGGTGTATTGCTCAACGATACCCACAACAAGGTGGTGTAACAGGCTGGCCCCTAACTCAGAGGCAGTCAGCACTTATTTTTGCTCAAGTCTGTGGGTTGACGTGGGTTTGGCTGATGTAGGCTGACTTGGTTCCAGGAGGTAGATTGCACTCAAGTCTGCTTCTTGTGAGTTTGTTCTGGGGGCCGCATAGAGGGACAGGAAGATGCTAACTGCACAGCAAACTCTAAACCTTTGTTGGCATCATACCCACTAACATCCCATGCAAGTCACATGGCCAAGTCCAGCCTCAATGGGGCAGAAATACACAGCGCACACAAAGGTGTGGGCTGGAGGGTGAGTGGATATTGGCTGGATAATAGTCAAATCCTGTGGGCCTGACCAAGGCTCTTAGGGTCTGTTAGCAGCTGGTGGTGCTGGAACTGGTCCAGCTGGGTCTGCGGGCATACATGTTCCTCAAGGTCTCCCCTGGTCATTGTCATGCAAAAGTAACCTATTTATTTCTCCAACATTTGGGTGTGGTCCTTCCCTCGCCAAACACCAATGTGCGCCAGCCATTTCCACGCATGCCTTTCAATCTGACAAACGTTTCCTGAGCACCTACTTTGTGACTAGCTCTGGGCTTGGCAGTGGGGGTGCAAAGGTGAATGAGGTAGAAGTCCCTGGCCTCCAGGAGTGGCTCACTGGGAAGAGAGCTAAGTGCGTGCTTATCAGACATGGCCAGGGCTCCAGACGAGGGCTAAAGAATCTACCCTCCCCTGGAAAAAGCTGGGGGAGGAAAGGATGGTCACCTGAGATCCCTACTGTAGATGTTTGGGTTTTCTACTCTTTGTTCTGTTAACAAGACCCCCAATAAAGATTTGACCCAAATTGTTCATCAAGGTGTGACATGGGGAAAGACCTCAGGCCCTCAATCCCAGTGGAGCTTGCTCTCGCAGGCAGGCGGGCGCTCACTGAGAATGAATGAGTGAGTGAATGAGCTTCTCCTGATAGTTCCTGGCCGTCAAGACTGTGCCAGGAACCTCCTAACTGTCCTTCTGACTCCTGCTTCTCAGTCCTTGTGCAGCTGGATCCCGCTGCAGCAGCTGAGAGCA